GGAAAAATAATTTTAAAGATTACAATTAATAATTCGATTGGGAAATGATTCGGATTCATTTTGAAAATTAGATTTTTATAAAATTTGGTATTTTTATAGGAAATGATCTAGTTACGAATTTTAGAATTTAAGAATTATATCATACAAAATACAAATTAAAATATAATATATTATTAATTAGATAATATAAAATACATGCGTTTTATTATTTGGTTAATACAATTATGGAGTCTGTTTATTGTAACAAGTGTGAAATTCTTGATAATCACGAGACTATTTTTTGCCAAAAAACTCAATGTCGTTACTGTAAACAGTTTGGTCATATCAATGCATTTTGTCCAAATTTACCTTGTTATCTTTGTCATATGGATGGTCACACACAAAAAACTTGTTTTGAAAACAAATTCAAACCTAAAAAACTTAAATGTAAAGTTTGTAATAGATATACTGATAAGGAATTTTGCAATGGTGTTCACATGGTCGCTTTCTTTGCGCATAAAAAGGATTTTCAATTTATGTGGGATTATGTAAAGTATTTATCCGATGTTGGAATAAATTTTTCTGCCGTTTTAAGAACGATTTACAAAATTAAAAAAATGTATTATTTTAATGTTTCGTTCAAGAAATTACAAAAAAAACAAGAGAGGGATTGTTTATATCGTGTTGGCGTTAACAATATTTACACTTTTAAAGAAGTTCATGATTCTTTAAGAATAGATTTATTTAATCTTTGTGTAAAATGTTGTAATGTTATTAGTAATCAAAAATTGGTTTGTGATACTTGTGAAATCAAGATGCTTTTTGAGAATTTTAGAATTAATCAGTATAGAATAGAAACAAATAGTACAATTATTAGTTCTCAATTAAAAATACATATGTAATAGTTTAGTATACAGGTTAAATTTATTTATTTTGGTATTTTCGTTTATGTTTTGTGTATCGAGATTTTTTATTTAAACATGAAATTTTGAAAATTTTTTTTGATTAAATTTTGATTCAATTCATAATTAATAAACAAAATAGAAAAAAATAATTTATTTCTTTTTTAAAAAAAATTCGACACCTTAATTTGTTTTCAACCAAATTGTAAATTCGAATGTAAAATCAATAAAAAATATCTTAATAATTTTATATCAAATAATTCAATCATAAAAGAATATATAAATGTTTTGATAAAACATTATTTTAATGAACATTATATTCGATACCAAGAATTTAAAGATTATATTGTTCTTAAAAATACAAATCATTATATAATTGATAAATTATATTTTGATAGTAATGATAATATTCGTTTAGCGTATAATGGAATTAAAAGATCAGGAAGAAAGTCGAAAGAGTTGGATGGTGATGAAAAAAGTATTAAAAATCTAATATCTCAAAGACAATATCGGAATAGAGTGAATCAATATATAAATTCATTAGAGGAACGATATCAAACACATGAAAATGAAATTTATATATTGAAAGAAGAGCTAAAAAAATCGAAATTGGATAATGAATGTATACAAAAAGAATTAGAAGATCTTCGAAAACAAGTTAAAGATTCAGAAAGAATTAATGAATTATTGAATAATGAAAATCAAAATTTAAACGAAACATTAAATGAGTCGAATGAAGAAATACGAAAACTTGATAAAGATTTAAAAGATTATCAAGATGCTAATGATGAGTATGTTAATCATAATAAGGAAATAATGATAGTGATCGAAGAATTGAAAAATCAAATCATCAAACGTGATGAAGAATTAGAAAATATAAGAGAAGAAAGAGATCGATATAAAACCGAAAATGAAGAATTAGAAAATGTAAAACAAGAAAGAGATCGATATAAAATCGAAAACGAAGAGTTGAGAAAACAAAACGAAAATGTTACGAATAACGAAATTTTTGAAAATATTGAAATAACGAATAACGAAAATTTTGAAAATATTGGAATAACGAATAACAAAATTTTTGAAAATATTGGAATAACGAATAATGAAATTTTTGAAAATATTGGATTAAACATTGATGAAATTTCATATGAAGAATTAGATTTTAAACCAATTACTTTTGAACATGATAGTAGTTGTTTTAATTTAGAAAATAATGTTAAAATTGTTAACGGACCGAATTTGTTAAATATTCCATTTGATATTAGTAATTCGAATATTAGTTTTTCAAATAATAATGAAACTGATTTTGAAGAATTTACTAAAATGATGAGGAT